GCAACTAGATTCCCGGAAGCAGTGCCCTTACGGAATATAGATACTGTCACTGTAGCAGAGGCTTTGCTAAGTATTTTTTCGCGTGTGGGAATACCGAAAGAAATACTTTCCGATGGCGGAACCCAGTTCCAATCGGATTTAATGGCAGAGATAAACAGAATGCTCTCAATAAAGGCATTATTTACAAGTCCATATCATGCTTGCTGCAATGGAACTGTGGAGCGATTTCACGCAGTGTTAAAATCCATGCTTAAAAAACTCTGCGGAGAACGACCCCACGATTGGGATCGCTACATCCCGTCTGTTCTATTCGCGTACCGCGAGGTTCCTAATGATACTCTGAAATTCAGTCCATTCGAGTTGCTGTACGGTCGCAAAGTGCGCGGTCCACTGTCCATTCTTCACGATCTATGGACCAGAGATGACCTTAATGATGAGATCAAAAGCACTTATCAATACGTTCTTGATTTGCGATCCCGATTAGAGGAATCCGCCCAGTTGGCTTCATCCCATGCAGATGTTTCTGGTAAAATGTACAAAGCCTATTTTGACAGAAGAGCTAAAGTACGCAAATTAAACGAAGGCGACGAAGTACTTGTTTTGCTGCCAACATCTCACAACAAGTTAACAATGCAGTGGAAAGGACCTTATTCGGTAGTAAGGAAGCACGATAACGGCGTAGACTACGAGGTAAAGATTAATACGAAAAAGAGATTATATCACATAAACATGCTTAAGAAATATGTGAGGTGTGACGATGTTTCTTCTTCGCAAGTATGCCAGGTGTGCGTCGTAGACGATCTTCCAACGTCCGAGGAAAAAGCGAATTTTGCTTGCGATATCCCTGACTTGTACGAGGATAATGAATGTACAGTAAACATTAATCCTGAACTGTCGAGTAAGCAGACAGCAGAGTTAAAACAGCTAGTAGCTGAATTCTCTGACGTATTCTCAGATAAACCAGGTGTAACTAGCACGGTCATACATGACATTGGATTGTCAACAGTTGCCCCTGTTCATACCAAGCCGTACACTATTCCCCATCATCTCAGAAAAGCTTTTGATGAGGAAGTGGATAGAATGTTAGCTTTAGGCGTTGTTGAACATTCTACATCTCCCTATTGCTCACCCGTTGTGCTAGTTAAAAAGGCCGATAATTCATGGCGCTTTTGCGTAGATTTTAGGGCTCTGAACGACGTGAGTGTTTTCGACGCAGAACCAATGCCAACGATGGATGAAGCATTAGGTAATTTTGTGGGAGACGTTTACTTCACTGAATTAGATCTTTGTAAAGGCTATTGGCAAATTCCTTTATCTCAGAAGGCAAAATCTTACACGGCTTTTGCTACTCCTAAATACAGACTTCTGCAGTTCAATAAACTTCCGTTTGGTTTACGCACGGAGTGTGCCAGTTTCATTAGATTAATGCATAAAGTTACTGCAGGTTTGACGAATGTAGAGTGCTACTTTGATAATTTGGTGGTGCATAGCTCGTCATTTCATAAGCACTTGGTTCACATAAGGAATCTTCTGGAAAGATTGCGTGAGCACGGGTTAACTGCTGGGCCTAGTAAATGTTTTCTAGCTTTTCCCAGTATTAAATATCTTGGATTTAATCTTGGTGAGAAGGGCTTGAGTACCCTTCCAGATAAGGTTGAGGCAATCAAAAGTATGCCGATGCCGGAAACCAAGAAACAACTACGAAGTTTTCTTGGAACACTTTCATTTTATCGGAAGTTCATTCCTAATTTAGCTGACCTCGTACATCCTTTGAACTCACTTCTGAAAAATTTTTCTCCTAATAAGCTAAATTTAACTCCTGATCATTATAAGAGAATCGACGAATTAAAGGATATGTTAGCCAATGCACCAATCTTAACTCTGCCTGACTATGAAAAGACTTTTTATCTCCGAACAGACGCCAGCGACACAGGTCTTGGGGCGGTGTTGCTGCAGAATGTTGATAATGTTCTTATGCCAATCGCTTATGCGAGTAGAAAGCTCTCTGACTCGGAAGGGCGTTATGCCGTAAAAGAAAGAGAAGCTTTAACTATCGTCTGGGCTATTAAAAAGTTCTGGTGTTATCTTTATGGCCGCGAGTTTGTCTTGCAAACCGATCAACAACCGTTAACATACATCAGAAACATGAAGAACAGCAATGGTCGTCTTATGCGTTGGTCACTGGCTCTCCAGTCTTATGCATTTACGATTGAGTATATCAGAGGTCAAGATAATGTTGGCGCAGACATTCTTAGTCGACGCTCAGTGTAAGTTGATTGTATATATATCACAAGGTAATTTAAGTGAAACCCCACTTTCACTTAAAATCGTATGATTTTAAGTCAAAATGGGGGGCTTTGTACAGGGTTTGGTGATGGTTTCCCTTAATTTTTGTTGTCTTGGTGTGCGAAGTGTGAGTGCGTGCGTGCTTGTGTGCGTGAACGAACCATTTGGTTTACCCGGACGACCCATTTACGTTGCTTCGAGCTTGAAGAAAGCCATGGTCGGTGGTCGCCGTTATATGGTCAGTCACTTGGCACCGAACTCCACACCGATAACATGGGTTTGTTTCTAGCCTCCTTAACTTGTATAAAAGGTGGACGAATACCAGACCGCATCATCTGTCTACAAGCAGTGCCTGTATTTTCTGGCTGCAGAACTCTGGATACGTACCCTGGGCTGTTTACCCTGGGCCATAATATCCGGTCCACAATATCCCGGTCCACAGTATCCTGGCTACGCGTGACCCCGGGCCGCTTGACCCCGGGCTGGAATAGTACTTTCGTGATCGTTTCTATTTGTGTTATTACTTGTGGTGTACACATATATACATATATATATATATATATATATATATATATATATATATATATATATATATATATATGAAAATATATATACTGAGAAAATATTGAATTTTTATTCTTTTTCCTTGGCTGCAATCTATTCCCCAGAGCTCAAGATACTATATATATAAGAAATACTGATATAAAATTGAGCGTAAACCTCGAACACATATATATATTTATGTATATATTTGTATTTATATATCTATTCATGTATACATACATACATATATATATATATATATATATATATATATATATATATATACATATATATATATATATATATATATATATATATATATATATATATATATATATATATGCATATATATATACATATATACATATATATGTATATGTATATATATATATATATATATATATATATATATATATATATACATATACATATATATATACATATATACATATATATGTATATATGTATATATATATATATATATATATATATATATATATATATATATATATATATATATATACGTATACATACAGACATACACACGCACACACACAAACACGCATACACACAAAATGTATATATATTTATATATACATGTATATAATATATGTATATATATATATATATGTATATACATATATGTATATATATGTATATATATATATATATATATATATATATATATATACATATATATATATATATATATATATATATATATATATATATATATATATATATATATACCTGGTTCATATATATATATACCTGGTTCATATATATATATATATATATACCTGGTTCATATATATATATATATACCTGGTTCATATATATATATACCTGGTTCATATATATATATATATACCTGGTTCATATATATATATATACCTGGTTCATATATATATATATACCTGGTTCATATATATATATATATATATATATATATATATATATATATATATACCTGGTTCATATATATATATATATATATATATATATATATATATATATATATATATATATATATATATATATCGATAAGATGCAGTTTTAGAGCAACTAAGTATTACGTAAGATTATGCGACATTTGTAGTCATGGTATAAGACTATGGATGCATATATATATATATATATATACATATATATATATACATATATATATATATATATATATATATATATATATATATATATATATATATATATATATGTATGTATGTATGTTTGTATATATTAGTACATACATCTATACATTCATGCATATTTTCATAGCATGAAAATGCAAATAGAACTTTCACTATCTGTGTATATAAACTTCTCGTTTGAAAGCATGACATACTTTCCTGTTTAAAGACATGCCCTAATGTTTACATTAGGGGCCCCTCTGCCACGTTGCTCAGTTAGGTTCATGTGGCCGCAGCAGACTCATATGAAACAGGATTTCTCTCTATCTTTTTGAATGTGCGTGTTTGTGTGTCTGTGCGTGCGCGCGCGTGTGTTCCTTTTTTCTTCCTCCTTTTTGCTCTTTTCTTCCTTCTCTATCTCGCTCTATAATAACAACAACACTAAATCCCTGCTATGCACCGTTATAATGTATTATAATTACACCACACACACACACACACACACACACACACACACACACACACACACAGACAAACACGTAGGCCTATTTTTTTGCATAGACTTATACAAGTACAACTTCCTCATGTAGAGATAAAAGGTAAAGTAAATAAACAACCGACGGGTATTCAGTCCTTCAAACTGCTTCCGGAAATTCTTCAACACGGCTCAGCGGATCCTGAAGGGACAGAGACCACGCAGGCAGGCTGATACGCAAGACTTTTTTTTATTTCACTGGCCCAGAACATGTTTGGGGCGTGTTTGGAGCTGGTTTCTTTAATTTTTCTATTGTCTTTCAGAATGTACATTCCTAACTTTTGCGAAAATACATATATGTTGATACATATATGTATATATAAATATATATATATGTATACGTGTGTGTGTGTGTGAGTGTATGTATATTCACATATAGTATACACACACATATATATGTATGTATATATGTGCGTATGTACTGTGCTTAATTTTGGATATAATCCAGGTAGATATCATAAAGTTACAGTTAGCTTTATATAAATATATGAATTCACGATTCTTACCTTCGTAAGATCAACAGGGTCTTCTCTTTCCTTATGATTACTGTTAATATTGAATAATTTTTGTTTTATTCTCTTCATGTCAACTATATCTCAAGCAGCATGGGTATTACGACTAACCCACCAGAGTATACACTGACACAACGGGATGTTTTTGTCGAAATTGTCACTTCATATCATGGTCAGGTAATTGTTGCCTGATACCTCTAGAATGTATTTTTATTATCACTTTTCCACAAACGTATGGCGACGCCCCGACTACCTTGATTGCCAGATAAGTCAAGAAAGAGGGAGAACAGAGGAAGTTTATCGTATAAGGACTGATAATATGTACTGTTATCAGTAATTCGTCGATGATACAAGCCTGACAGGAAATCGTTGTGTGTGGGACTCAGTCAAACGCGCTGCCATAGAAAACGGAAAGTGTCACCGATGGATAACTATCATATTTTTTTTTTTTGTTTCTCAATAAATAAGCATATACACACATATAAATATATTTATATATATACATACATACACACACGCAAACACATATATGTATATATATGTATGTATATATATACTTGTATATATATATATATATGTATATAAATATATATATATATATATATATATATATATATATATATATATATATATACATACATATATATATATATATATATATATATATATATATATATGTATATTTATATATATATATACATATATATATTTATATATATACATATACTTACATATAAACAATATATATACATACACACACACACACACACACACATATATATATATATATATATATATATATATATATATATATATATACATATATATATATATATATATATATATATATATATATATATATATATTATATATACATACTGTAGGGAGGCCGATTTTGTACAGACAGGGCGCGTCTGGCACGATGTGGTAATCTTGGTAGTGGTGAAGGTGTAACAGACTTCTCGTTAACTTGTAGCGGTTTATTGTAGAGAGAGTATGGTACTGTTACCTAGCCGTCTTTTGAGTGCTGCTATACCACTTCTTACCACCCTTGAGTAAAGATGGCAACAAGTGGAATATAACCAAATATACTCGCGTGTAGGCCACTGGATAACATATTTTTATTCCACTCTCTCTGGAGCAGGCTCATGGTTTCTTTTAACCCAATGGTGCCAGGGAAAATGAACAAAAAAGGGGGAAAATATTGTGCTGATAGATGGCTTTGGTAGCGCCTTATTTGAAGTGGCGGGAAAAACGTATTTTTCACTAGTGCTATAAAAATCGATGGTATTATTTTTATCATAAACATTATAATTTTTATAATTTTTTTAACATTAGTAACAGCAAAATAAGATTACGTAAAATATTTTGTAAATCAAAGAAACAGGTAAATGGGCGAGACGGGCGGTGCTTGTAGTTGGCTCATTGGTGATTTAGTACAAGTGTTGCCATCTATGCGTAAAAACAACGAACACGTCATAACCGGCACCAAGGGGTTAAGAATAATACGTGCAATTTTACGTGTGACTTTCCTTCTTGTACACTTATTTCAGTATTATATCAATTGGTGATTATAAACACATGAAATAATATTATACCTTTAATCGGTACTTACTGTTACAATTGAATTTCTCGTCTCCTGACGAGTCCAAAATCTCCCCTTGGAGAGTATGAAGAGATACAGACCCTTGTCTCATCTACTTCGTATAGTCACATGGAATTCAGTACTGTTTTAACCGAAATTAGGAATATCTACCAAAGATAAATCCCCACGAACACCCACGTTCGACGACAGTTAGTACTGAACTGCGGCACAAGTGCCACACAAGCGCCTCGGCCTCTCCCGAACGTGCCGACCCAGCACAGAGCACAGTGGTGCCCTTGTTTACAAGGCCTATAGAGGATCACCCTTATGTCCCCGAGACCAGGTGTCTATAGTGCCATGTAAAACACTAAAGGCTTATCCCCGCATAGGATAAACACCACACTCTGTAGCTTCAATGGAATGTGGAATTCCCCTGAACTACCATTCCATCTACCATACAACCATTGGAAAACCCAAATTCATGGTATATAGTGGTCTTACAGGTCAGAAATGCCGATAGATTACCATTCCAATGCTACTTCAATAAGTCTGGCCGTTGACAGTACAACGGACAGAAGTTCGGTCTGATTGTCGCTCGCAGGCGACCCTCCTTTATACAGGTTAAACTAATAATTCATAAGGGTTGCGATGTACTAGGAAGTGTGGAGAAAAGGAGTGATCGTGTAAACGGGGTGACGTCACGAGGCGGAAGGTCTACGGATGTCGCATCCGCTGCCGTGTTGAGCGAAAGTTTGGTATGTAGGTATTAGTGATACTGTATTTGATATTTGTTTATAAGTTAATAGTGTTACGTGTGTGGCAATAACAAAGTAAGGTAAGGCGTCCGCTATACGTAATCTCAAGGGCGTCCTTTAGGGTTATGGCATAATGAGTGAACCATAAATTTATTTAGTGGGCCTCTCTGTGAAAGATCTGGTGTGTATTGAGATATGAAATGGGTCTTACATCGCTCGGTCCGGCTACCGCGGCGGTTCCCGCCGCAAAAAGGCGTCAGAGAAGTGAAAAGACACAGCTAGCTAAACCATACACCCTAAGCATAAAATAACCTACACTCAAAACTAATATAAAGTACAACATAACCATAAGATAGATATATGAGGGAATTCATTAAGAAAACGTACAAACATAGTCAAGCATAGCCGGTGATATAGAGGATAAGTGCTGACGCTGACAGATACTGTGCGCAGTCAGTGTTTTAATCACGATGTAATGATACAGTACAAATCCAATCATGACGGCCAGTATCCCGAATAAGGTAGACAGTATGGGCAGTCCATAGGTCACATGTGGGGGGGGGGGGGGGGGTATGAAATCAAAGGGATCCAAATGATCGTCGGAAGAAGGGAGGAACCTAACGTTTGTGACTGGGATGGAAATATTGCTATGTTGGTACGCGTGAATATTTGCGTACTTGGTGAGTGCTGGAGACAGGATGTTGTCAGCGACTCGACAAGTAGTGTGTCAGGTGGAAACACGTAGGTTGCTTGCTTTGCTTCGGAGGCAGGAGTCTGTTGTAGGACGAATCCCGTCGCTGCTACCACTGTAGGGAGGCCGATTTTGCGGTAGAGTGCAGACAGAGCGCGTCTGGCACGATGTGGTAATCTTGGTAGTGGTGAAGGTGCAACAGCCTTCTCGTTAACTTGTAGCGGTTTATTGTAGAGAGAGTATGGTGCAATGGACAAAGATTCGGTCCGGTTCGCGAGCTGGAGGCTGTCTGACTGTCACTCGCAGGCGACCCTCATTTATACAGATTAAACTAATAATTCATAAGGGTTGCGATGTACTAGGAAGTGTGGAGAAAAGGAGTGATCGTGTAAACGGGGTGACGTCACGAGGCGGAAGGTCTACGGATGTCGCATCCGCTGCCGTGTTGAGCGAAAGTTTGGTATGTAGGTATTAGTGATACTGTATTTGATATTTGTTTATAAGTTAATAGTGTTACGTGTGTGGCAATAACAAAGTAAGGTAAGGCGTCCGCTATACGTAATCTCAAGGGCGTCCTTTAGGGTTATGGCATAATGAGTGAACCATAAATTTATTTAGTGGGCCTCTCTGTGAAAGATCTGGTGTGTATTGAGATATGAAATGGGTCTTACATCGCTCGGTCCGGCTACCGCGGCGGTTCCCGCCGCAAAAGGCGTCAGAGAAGTGAAAAGACACAGCTAGCTAAACCATACACCCTAAGCATAAAATAACCTACACTCAAAACTAATATAAAGTACAACATAACCATAAGATAGATATATGAGGGAATTCATTAAGAAAACGTACAAACATAGTCAAGCATAGCCGGTGATATAGAGGATAAGTGCTGACGCTGACAGATACTGTGCGCGTCAGTGTTTTAATCACGATGTAATGATACAGTACAAATCCAATCATGACGGCCAGTATCCCGAATAAGGTAGACAGTATGGGCAGTCCATAGGTCACATGTGGGGGGGGGGGGGGGGTATGAAATCAAAGGGATCCAAATGATCGTCGGAAGAAGGGAGGAACCTAACGTTTGTGACTGGGATGGAAATATTGCTAGTGGGGGTGTCTAGTAAGGTCAGGGAGAGCAAAGGAAATGACGGTGTATACCAAAAGTGAAAATGATGAGACGGGTTGTGTAACGGTGGTACGCGTGAATATTTGCGTACTTGGTGAGTGCTGGAGACAGGATGTTGTCAGCGACTCGACAAGTAGTGTGTCAGGTGGAAACACGTAGGTTGCTTGCTTTGCTTGTTTCTCGCGATCTATCTTGTGTGTGATATTTACTCTGCGTCTGCTGGCTTGTTGCTTCGGATTGCTTGCTTTGCTTCGGAGGCAGGAGTCTGTTGTAGGACGAATCCCGTCGCTGCTACCACTGTAGGGAGGCCGATTTTGCGGTAGAGTGCAGACAGAGCGCGTCTGGCACGATGTGGTAATCTTGGTAGTGGTGAAGGTGCAACAGCCTTCTCGTTAACTTGTAGCGGTTTATTGTAGAGAGAGTATGGTGCAATGGACAAAGATTCGGTCCGGTTCGCGAGCTGGAGGCTGTCTGACTGTCACTCGCAGGCGACCCTCATTTATACAGATTAAACTAATAATTCATAAGGGTTGCGATGTACTAGGAAGCGTGGAGGAAAGGAGTGATCGTGTAAACGGGGCGACGTCACGAAGCGGAAGTTAATAGTGTTACGTGTGTGGCAATAGCAAAGTAAGGTAAGGCGTCTGCTATGGGTAATCTCAAGGGCGTCCTTTAGGGTTATGGCGTAATGAGAAAACCTTAAGTTTACTAAGTGGGCCTTTCTGTGAGAGATTTGGTGCGTATTGAGATATGAAATGGGTCTTACACATACATTTATACAATATATATACATACATACATACATATATATATATATATATATATATATATAATATATATATATATATATATATATATATATATGTATGTATATATATATATACATGTATATACATATATATATATATATATATATATATATATATATATATATATATATATATATATATATAT